CCTTATATTTAAGAATGAAATTTGCCTAATTTGTATGATTGATTTCTGGAGATTTTTCTTTCTCTTGATTAAACAATACATAGCGCGTATAATAGACTTCACGCATTTTGTTTCTTTGTTTTATGTATTCGTACTTTCTAAAGTCAAATATTTTTAACCTTTAAACAATACAATGGCTATTTAAATGCTAAAAAGCTTGCCTTAATTCTCCTGTGATGATGGTACAATTTATATGACCCGTACAGACTCCAGGAATGAATGATCGGAAGTCCATATCTAAAAGTCCCGTTCAGGCCAATGGTCAACGTGCTTACGATTAAAAATTATGTATATATTCCATACGGATAAGGAAATACGGACGGTTTAATGAGAGGGGAGATTGTTAAGCCTCCCCTCTACCTTAGTCATGAAATCCGTTTTTTGAGCCATAGTACGATTGCTGCAGTTATGGACAACATATGTGATGTGATTGTTATGAATGAGAACGGCGACGACACCTCGCACGACGACTATCTCACAATGACAAGGTTTGTGAGTTGTGCCCCGTCTTCAGCACATTTCACAATAACCATTCTTACAATTGGGACAGCGTATTTACATAACTCATGTCAAAATATCAAGGCCTCTTCTGTTTTTTTTCTGTCTTGAATACCTCAGGCTGCAAATCGTGACACTTCCTTTAAACGCTTACAGTAATGTTTTCAGTATTAAAAATGTCGACAATTTTTTCTCTCACGAACACTGGATCAAGGTACGGTCTTAAAGAAAGTAAATTCATTGTTACTGGCAAGCTTTCGACCTATTTTAATGTTATCATCAGAACAATCTTAAATATATCTACAGATTGACATATTTAAGTATTTTTACAGGCGATATCAAATGTCCTTGAAGACCGACTTAGTCTCCAAACATTGAATTTGTTCTTCCTCAAGACTATATCTTAATCCAGAGGGTTCGTGTCCCACAGTAATATTCACTCAAAAATAACTATAATAAAAAAACAATTAATGATAACTAGGTTTAAATATTAATAGTTGACTGAAAACATAAACACATTACGTTTTTTACCCTTATAGAGTATTACTAATACTTTTACAATCGTTATATTAAAAAGAAAGAAAGTCACTTCACATTTAATCTTCTCGACTTAAAATCATGCTCTAACAAAAATTAATTATTAATTTTTGTTAGAGCATGATTTTAAGTCGAGATCTCGTCCGGATAGATGTTATATGTCCGTGTACCGCGCTCTACCATCCGCGATATGTCTACAGCGGTTTAGGACCACCGGAATTCTAGATCGAAGAGAGCGATATACGATGGCTAGAGACTTATCTAGCTATCGTTTTATTGCTCTTGCCACAATACGGAACCGTCATTTAACGTCTTCCTCGACAGGTAGTCAATTCCAAACGGCCCTTAATGTAAGGGTGAGCTCTGAAACGGTCGTCAGAAGGCTTCGTGAATATAGCCTAGGCTCTATACGTCCCGCATCGGCACTCTCCAGTAGAGGCATTGAGTAGAAAGAGGACTATTCGCAAATGAGCATCTCACTTGGAAACTTGAACAATGGGGCTGTTCTCTTCACAGATGAATACTGTGGTTTTTGGTAATCAAATGACGTGGACCGTCTGCGGGGAACGCTTTGCTTCAAATGCTATGTGTGAATCCCCGCCTTTTCAAAGAAAATGCGTTATGAGGTGGATCCATACCCGTACCGAATTGATTATTTATAAAATGCATCTTTCACTAAGGTACATTGAGGAAGTTCTTCTCGAAGCCGCGGTCACTCCATTGATTGGGGACAAATTCGTGTTAATTCATGATTCTTATTAGCTCGTCACCCATTATTTGGAGGATGTAGGAATTACTACAATTAATTCGCCAACAAACAAATAGAACATAATAAAAAGACGGGTTAGACATCGTTCGTCTCCTCCAACGAACGCTGAACAGTTTCAACCCGTTCTTTTTGAAGAATTGGATTCTTTGTCATAAGACGAAATCCGATCGCCTTTTTACGCGATGCCCTAGAGACTTAAGACCCTCCGCGAGCCAGAGGAGGTTTATTTTTCCGCGTTACATCATTAAGAGCAAAACAGTGTAAGAAATTGTTAGTTAAATTTTAATCTATCACTAAATGATAATAAAAACTAAATGATAAAAGTTACACAATGTTTATTAACTGCGTGAATTGTTTTGAAAAGTTCACCATTTAGCGGTTTTTGTAATAATTGCTCAAAACTGTGTTCTACATTCAGATTATTTACTCAATTTCTATTTATTTAATTTAATTATTAATTAAGTTTAACAATTTCCCAATTATGTTGTGTATTACAATAATATAAAGAGTATCAGTTTATCACCATACATAAACATTTAAAAATGTTATTCTGTTATATGAAATCAGCAACTCGTCGAAAAAGTATAGTGAAAATAAAACCCTGTATGAAAAAAATAAATAAATAAAGGTAGCAAACAAAGAAAACAGAGTATAAAGGTAGAAGAGTGAATGTCACCGTCCCCACTGAGGCGTTAATCACATGTGCCCCGAGAGAAGGGGATAATTAGATATGCGCCATTCAGTCGGATCGGGACATACATATGTACATGACACCGCTGACGCCCATTTTCCGAGATGGAACGGGAAAACGTTATCGAAAACTCCTCAGATACATCGGCCGAATGCAAATTTCCCAACGAGGATGAAAATCACTGCAAGTAAACCATGGATTACATACTATTTCTCTTAAATGGGTTCGTTCGTACTGAAAGTCGGCACAAGCCCGCATCTCTCTTGGAAGAGAATTTTTTCCCGGTCAAACAATAAAAGTAGAGAGATGTCATAATAAACAGAGTCGTATTTGTAACCCGGTCTAATTGTTGCTGTCGTGATTCTTTTTAAGTGGGGATTAATCTGTATCAATAAATTACAATTTTTTATCGATATTCATGTAAAATACAAACTGTCCTTCCATAAAAACAAATTATAAGGGAGAAAATGCTATTTAGAGATTTTGCCTCACTGAAATTTTGTGTGTGTGTGTTTGCAACATCAGAGGTTATATGAATCCTCAGGGTGCCGGTGTTTTTGAGAAAATGGGGGCCGCTGGATTCGAACCCGGGACCTTTACCTTACAGTGATGAGCGCCGTGTCAACGCCACCGACGCCCCCGCACTGCCCCTTTTATACACGGTAGTTTCGACCCTACTACCACTTTTCAAATTGCAAAAGCAGAATGTCATCGAGAGTAAGAGTTTTCTAGATATGGTAGCACAAGATTGGATAAGCAATGTAAACCTTTAAATGCAAAAATATATGTCTGAGTAAAGGAAGCAGATTTTTATCTTTTAATTATGTTGATTTTGCAAGTAAAAACCATGGTTTGCTGGTTGCGTCTGCGTCTGTGAAATATCTGCAGTTTTTGATTCACTCATAAATAAAATAAGGGTTCTGTCAGTTATATTCATTTCTACTTACATCAACAAACCTCAATCTTAATGCTTAGTCTGCTTTATAAGCGTATTATGATGTTGCTAAAAAATTACAGGATATTAAAAACTTTTGCTGATCAAATTTTCAATATAACCAATTTTTATAGTTTTGATAGTTACCTTTCATTCTGGTCTGTCTATCCTCGCTGATTTTCGTTGGTTCAGCCAAGTTTCGGTATTTTGCCGTGTAATATCGCTCAAAAATGGCAAAATGCCGATACTCACCAAACCAACGAAAATCAGCGAGGATAGGCAGACCAAGATGTTAGGTAACGTCATACCTTAGGTCCACACGAGGAAATCTCACAATTTAACAATTTTTTCCAGTTAAGAATGGTGAATTACGTTTAACAAGAGTTAATTACAAAGGCTTAAATCACGATTTCCTTGCCGATTGTTTGTCCGGAAGTGTCAAATTGTTTAGAGGAACTTGACAATGGCTCGACCCCTGAGAATTTAAAAGGGCCCGTGTCGAATCGTTCTCCCACGTTCAATTCATACAATTTGGTCGAGAATACTTTTTTCCACAATTTTGTCGATTTGGGTACTGTGTAAACAACCAGAAACAGAGCGGTCGTAAATGGCAGAAATTATCTGAAGACCTAGAAACCATTGTTGATTATAAAGCTGATTTTGTAATTACATAATCAAAGAACACGTATTTTTTTATACATGCATTAAAAATATCAATATTCTAGCTGGCAAATAAGGACGTTGATGTACTCGATATTTCCTATTGAAATTACTATTAACAACTTGTTATTCAGTTATTTTAATTTTCGTAAAGCGATTACAAATTACAACCAGAATCATTTTCTCAATTTTGTAAATCATGTCATGCATTATAGCGATATATTGACCTCTTTTTCCCTCTTCAGTTTTTAAAAAAATATTTATTTTTTTATTTAATAGCAGTTTTCACCTGTTACGTCTTGCTGGTTTCTTCATTGTGTTTATTTGTTTATGTTGTTAAAATTAAATTATTTTTTGAAAAGATAAAAATACATTACTATGTCTAGAATTTATAGGCTTTAGTAACAAGGAAGAATATTAAATGATGATCAAGGACGTTAATATTATCTGTAGTCTGAGCACGAATTACTACTGACAAGCTTTTGATCAGTATAATTAAAAGTCACATTGCTTTTTTTCTACCAACTGTTTTTAATCAACAATTCAATCGAATCTAATTCATCGTTTGATTCTCTTCAAACTCAATTGGTGCAATTGAAATGTGCTGGAGAAAAAATGCACAAGATGTCAAATGCAATATGATTAAAGAATTAAAAATACAGTTAACTGTTTTAAGGAACTGCCAAAACAATGTGGTTCTGTTGGTTTTCTTCTAGTATGTACTAGTAAAATTGCCTTTTCCAAATTTTATATTCAACCACTCCAATTGATAAAGTTTGATGTTATTTACTTTTCATTTAATATATAATAATTGTTTAAAAAAATTGAATTGAGTAAAATCACTTAAATTTCTATGTATTTATATTTTTCAGATTTGAAAATGGGACCGTCAGGCTCAGGAATCCACATATTGAATTGATGGACCAAGACATCCTTTACCACTTGGCTTTAGGAAGTGGTTCTCATGATCTCGTTGAAATGTTTGGAGACATCAAGGTAACTTTCAAAAAATGCTTTTATTGTTAATTGAATAGTATTCAGTGATTGGTATTGTATATGTAGCTCAATCGTACCTGGTTTTGGTATTTCACCATTAGTTGGTGTTACAGAAGGACAAAACTAGCAATACCAGTGTAATCAGGGACGATCAAGCTATAGTTTTATCTTCTTATTATAACCTTTCTCAATATTATACTTATATATTTTTAGTTTGTGTGCATGGGAGGGACACCAAAGAGGATGGAACAATTCGCCTATTACATAATGGGTGAAATCGGGCATAAACTTCCAGCTGGAACGATGCTTCAGGATATAAGCCAATTCTCGTACCGGTATTCAATGTACAAAGTAGGACCGGTCCTTTCAGTTAGCGTGAGTTAATCTTAGAAATCTGATCAAGTATTTAAATTCATGAAAATGAGGTTGTTGTTATTTTTGTTTTTTTTTAGCATGGAATGGGCATTCCTTCAATTGGTATTCTGCTGCATGAAATGATCAAGCTCATGTACCATGCAAAAGTGAAAGATCCTGTGTTCTTCAGGATAGGAACAAGTGGAGGAATTGGATTAGAAGGAGGCACTGTTGTCATTTCTGAACAAGCTGTTGACGGGTTGATGAGACCGTTTTTTGAACTCGTAATTATAAATGATTAAATTCAAGGTTCTTAGCAAATATATCTCTTTATTTTATTCTTAGCCTGTCTTGGGAAAGGTCATTCAAAGACCAGCCATTCTTGACAAAAAATTGGTGAGAGAATTGAAAGCATTACATTCCAATGAAGATCCTTATGATGTGATGATAGGCAAAACATTGTGCACCACAGACTTCTATGAAGGTTCGTATATTACATATTTAATAAAAATTAAATCTCAACTGAAAAATGCTTTTCAGGTCAGGGAAGATTAGACGGCGCATTCTGTGAATTTACAGAAGCAGATAAAATGGCTTATCTTGAAAAAGTTCAAAAAGCCGGTGTTGTCAACATGGAGATGGAATCACTCGTGTTTGCTGCGCTTACACACCATGCTGGCATAAAGAGTGCTGTAATCTGTGTTACAATTGTAGACAGGCTAAAAGGTGACCAGGTAAGATCGTATAAAATAATTGGTTAAAATATTTTTATTTTTTTTAAATTTAATATGAGATAATGGATTTGTTTAATATTCAGCAATGATGAAATAAATGATTGTCCTCTTATTTTTCCAGATACATGTTCCAAAGGAAGTTTTGGATGAATGGCAAAACAGACCACAAAAATTAGTTTCACAGTACATCAAACGTTTTTTGCAGACGAAAGGTCGATTTATGGATTCCTTTTGCATTTCGCCATGCAGTCCTTGTGTCAAAAGCCCAAGAAGGTTTAAGTTGGTGCAGCAAGAATCTGAAAATTATGATTAAGAAATAAATAAAATAATACTGGATATATCAAAGGCAGAGAGCCGTTTCTGCAATGCAGCAAAGCATTGCTTGAATTTTGCAACACTATAAAATAATAAAAAAATGATATATGTGCATTTGAATGAAATCACTGACAATATTTTAAAGCATATTTTTTCTCTCATTTAATATGGCTTTTATTTTTCCCTGACTTAATTTGGTAATGTTTCTGTAAAGTATGATTTGTTCTGCAATTTGAAGCCTTCACCTTCGGACTCCATACATTTTTGTGATTAAACTTTTCATAATGACCCACACATCACAAAAATGTATTGTATATAAATGTTCTTTTATTGCCTAAAAATGTACTCTGCATCAATTCATATTCGCTTCTAACAATTTTTGCTATATATACCAAGCACTAACTTTGTGTGTTCTACTTCTATTATATTATCATACTAAAAACTACTAAGATCCATATATTTAAGAGATCGCATATTAATTGTAAATAAATATAAAAAATAATTTTATTATGCTAGTTGATGTTATAAACGTTCTATATATTATTGCCTTTAAAATAAGTGTGCCATATGAATTGCCTTATGAAAATCTTCCTGTTTAACGTCACCAAGGAAGATTGCAATTGTTAATCAATGTTTGTAGCCATCAGAAAGTTAATGTTTATTATGACTGTTATTATGCTTTCCAATGCAATACAAATTGTGTTATTATTTTATATAAAAGACAAAAGAATGGATAGTCTTTGGCATAGAAATTTTCTAACTGACTAATTAGAAAACAGCAATGTTTGTATAAAAGTAAAATGACATTGCTGCGTTTAGACTTTTACAGTTGTTAGTAGAATTCTGGTTATTGTTGTTAGCAATAGAAAATCGATATTATTGAGCATGAATGTACAATGCATTGTATCCTAAGAAAATTGACGTTACTGGTTACTGTGACGTTGAAATATTATCTTGAAAAGTGAAAACTACAGAAACTTGATGTAATTGTTTCTGTTGATTTAAAAATTGAAATATTAAGGAAGCGTCTTATATTTTTTCTTTTTTTTTTTCACTTGGATATGTATGCTCTGGAAAGGACGGACAGGCCTAATACTCAAACAACGACATATCTGGTGCATTTAAAACAATCAAACAAAAATAAATTAAATTAAAAACAATAACCTTAATTTTAATTTTGTGATAAAAATTATTCTATATGGATACATAAAATTGTTACTCTTGCAAATATATTGTCTTTCTTTTTTTTAAAACCCATATTATGAACAGATAATTTATACAAAATAACCAATTAATGTGTAATAAATCAAGCACATATGTTTACTCTTCTCATTCAGAAATATTTGTAGAGTCATAAACATTTATGACCTATCACATAAACAATTAAATGAAATCAATTGAAAGATTTTTCTTTGATGAAAACTTTCTTTTTTCAATGAAAGCACATTCTTCAGTACTAGGGAGTAGATTTTTATCTATTAAAAAAGTCAAAATATAAACATAAATATGTCTTTATTTTTGACAAAATATGTACTTATTTATAGTAAAATATGTACCGCAGAATATAAAACAAATATTTTTAAAAAAATCAAGTTGGTATGATTAAAAGAACAATTTTAAAATAATAAACCAAATTGAAATTATTTCATACTTTTAAAATTATTGGGAATTATATGATAATTTAAATTTTACAAATTGAAACAGCAACGATCAGGTCTTAGCACATTGACTGCGCCCGCGGGAAAGTTTTATCTTTTTCTGGGGTGGAAACTTTTTTACTAACAGTTTCCATTTACCTTGGTATGAACATATTACGAAGTTACTTTTTTTTTTAATGCATTTTTTTGTTCAATAAAAAAAAACTAGTGCGTAGTGTATTTAGTGGTAGCTTAGAATAGAGACTGGTCATGGCCCCGCACAACAAATAAATGTCATGCCTACTTGTACTATTAATTCCAGTTTTTGCTTTTTACAATTTATATTTATGATTTATAATAATCTAAAATAAATCAATTATATTATTAGTGCCTAAAATTCAAAATTGAAAAAAAAAAGATAAATCTTTTTTACAAAGCCTTTCTTCAAACATTTCTCTTCTTACAACTTAATTGTTAAAACTTATCTTTAAAAAATCTATTTAAAAAAAAGATTATAATTAAATGAAATCCATTATAAAACTCAAAAAATATTTTCCAGAATGCATATGTAAAATGTTTTACAAAGGCAAACTTCAACACAAAAAACAAAAATATTTGATAGTTTGCTTCTGAAACCTAACGTTTTCCTAATTTACAACACAAAAATCACTAAACTAACACTAATATAAAAACAATATTGAATCAATGTTTTCCCCTACTTTTTAAAAATAATTGCTGAAAGCATACAAGTGTGTTTGATCACAGATGGCTGGATTGGTATCCAAAATCAACAGAAACAAAAAATAGCTAAGGGTTTCTATATCCTTCCAAATGGACTCAGCTACACACAGAATAGGCTATGGCAGTAGCAGTCAACGTGTTAAAATGGATTTGTATCTGCTAAAGGAGCATTCCACATCTACCGATTTTATTAAGCGAAACGACATTTTATTTTGGTTTCAATTCATTTCTGGTCCTAAATTTTTTTCTTGCTTCTTTTTAAAAATGTCAGAGATGTTCATTAGCTCTTTGAATCCAGGGTTTTTAAACACCACATCTTTTATCTTAGGGATGGTTTGGTATAAGGGGCCGTTTTCCCTGTGACGAAGATTTATATTTTAAAAATCAATTCAATTAACATGAGTCATGTTGGGAATAAATGAGGTATGAGCGAGCATACAATGCAGACCCTAGTATGCATGTGATTAGTGATGGGGGTAGTGGGTACCTTAAATTTGCCTTAGCCTAGAGTACTTAGATTAATTAATTTTGGTCAATAGTGTAGTTGTGTAAAATTGATTGTATTTTCAATACTGTATTTGGGAAAAATTGATTTTGTTTATATTATTATATCTCATAACCCCATGACATAACAACTGGCTGATGAGGAAGAAAAAAATTGTGTTGTGGTAAACTGTTATGTCAAGAGTAGTTCAATTGTGAGAATTAATTATTTTCAATTAATTATTTTTTTAAATTAAGGTTTTGGTTGAAATAAAAAAGTCAGTGTCACAAGCGGGATTTGAACCCACGACCTTCGGCTAAAAAAGATGATTAAGAACACCCTTGATGGTAATATTTAGTTAGTCCGAGAATAATTTTACATGAGATTCATTTTAGAAGACTTAATTTTTAATTAACTTAAGGTTCTCTAAGTATTTATATTTTTCCTCGTTTTTCTAGCACCTTATGATACTGAGTATTCTCCAACCTGTTTCCCGATCATCAATCAGTTGATATATGTCAATATTTGGCTTTTAAAAAATATGTAAACACATAAAAATCTTCTCCCTCCTCAGTACATTCAAGCAATTCCACATCCGTTGTTAGACAAAACAAACTTTTTATAAGTTTTTGTAGTTTTATGTAGGTAAACAAAAAAATTAAAATTGTTTATAGGCAAATACAGACAAACGACACAAATTGAGTTGATAAAAATATTTTTTAATTTTACAAGAATAAAAATGAATAAACAAGCATATATGCGAAGGGGGGTAAAAAATTGTGAAATTTATTCAGCTCCTTTTATCTTTTGAGCCCTTTGTTTGTTAAGTTCGTTCACTAATCGCACCACCTCTGGGTGCTTGAACTTTCCTTGTGTTGAGTCGAAAAATTCTTGCAAGCGTCCTGCATCGTTTTCAGCCTTTTCGTATTCAAATGCTTGCAAAATCATGTCTAATCGGTCCAGCTCTTTGACAAACTTAGCCTCCTCTGTGGTTTGATCCTCATATTCCTGCATAAAAGTAGATTAATAAAATTAAACGAATTAAAAACATAAATAAATAAAAAATAAGTAAAATAAAAACCATGGTTTAATCTTTTCTAAATTAAATTATTTATTGAATTATTTTTCAACCTTGTTCTCTAATGTTCTTGCAATTAGTATCATTTTAATCCCTTATAATAAGTAATGTTGACTTATTTTGTAAACAATGCCTCCACTTTATACTCAGTACATTTTTGATATCCCTTTTAATAAAAATGTTAAGGAATAAAATGCTGGTAATGGTGATATTAAAAAGAACATGTAGAAAAAAATCCTCCATAAATTTAATCAAGGATACATTAAATTGATAGACTGTGTAGAGGTGGTGATATAATTCTACACATGAAGCTTAGCACAACCAGCTGCCCTGAAAAACAGGATTCTAGCAGTCGCTTTTAAGGCCAATCCAACAAAAATCACTCACCAACTGTAAATGAACTAGGTTTATTACAGTAAAATGTAATTCACTTCTTAAACAAGTTCGGGCATGTTACAGAACATGAAGATAAGTTCCATAAGAACTCACCTAGCAGTAAACATAGTTTGCAACTGATAATTTCTTTTTTTTTTTTAAAGATTTTTATAGAAATTTATCTGAGTATTCCAAAACAGTATTGTGTCAATTCTAAATGGAACTAGATCGTTATACAAAGTTGGCTTTAGTGGTGTAACGAAATAGGCTTGACATTCTGTTTATTGGGATTGACAGACTGAGTAGAGGTGGTGATATAATTCTGCAAATGAAGTAAGCTTAGCACAACCAGCTGCCCTGAAGAACAGGATTCTAGGAGTCGCTTTGGAGACCAATCCAACAAAAATCACTCGCCCACTGTAAAATGATCTAGGTTTACTTTAGATAGATAGATATAATGATTCAGGGTATGGTATACTGCGCCCTTTAAGAGCTATTGTATCCCCTGTGCTCTGCCTAAAGCACATCCGTGAGTCCTATTTTATCAAGAAACTTGATTAATAGGCCCGGTTTCAGTGGTTGTAGTTCTTCTATGGTCACATTGTACATCCCAAAACACTTCCTCCTGCGGGCTAGTGTAGCTCCGCAGTTTGTTAGTAAGTGTGTTGGTGTCTCTTCTGCTTCTTTGCAGAATCTACATGTGCCATCTTGGATTATTCCAATTTTCTTTAGATGTCCATTTAATCTACAGTGTCCTGTCAGGAATCCTGTTAGGATTCGCAGTCTGTTCCTGCTTCCTTTGACACATTCTGTGATTTCTTTCTTGCCAAAGTTGGTTAGAAGATTCTTGGATTGTCTATGTCCAATAAGTGAATTCCAAAGTTCGCTCATTTTCTTTTTGTCCTTCTGTCTGAGGTATTCGTTAATAGTGTGTATTCCTATTCCACAGAAGGGTTCGGGTCCTATTAGCGGTGTGGCAGCCCCTTTTCTTGCAAGGGTGTCCGCTTTCTCGTTGCCTTCTACTCCCATGTGTCCTGGGACCCAGCAGAGGCTGACTTTATTCTGCGAACCTAATATATTTAATTTGGTTTTGCAGTTCAGCACCATCCTTGAACTAATGGTATTTGAGCTTAGTGCTTTGATGGCTGCTTGGCTATCTGACATGATAGCTATATTCTTGTTTTTGTATCCTTTATTTAGATTGAATTGGATACATCTTTCAATTGCATGAATTTCAGCTTGGAAGATACTGGTGTGCTTTCCCATGGGTTCTGAGTATTTGGTTCCGGGTCCGAACACTCCTGCCCCCGTACCTTCCTGTGTTCTAGATCTATCTGTGTACCAAAGGATGGTGTAGGTTTACTTTGTTTCCCCTCTTCTTAAAACCATTATAAGAGGCCCTACCGCCAGGCAGCTCGAGTATGGCCTAGACCTAAAGGAAGAAAGGGCTCAAGGAAGGAGGGTGGTGGAAGACATGTTTATGCAGTGTGAGAAATGAAAGTGCAATGTCTCTTGGTTGATGAACATTACAATTTAAAAATTAAACTGTTTCATTGGCTGGATCCACCTTTCCCACCAGAAACTAGGAGTTTCTCAGATACATCCCATGTTTTATATAAATATGCCCATCCCTAAATTAATAAGAATTATTATTTCCAAGTTGTTGATTAATCTTCTTTCATTAAACCCCTCAACATCTATCGTATCATATAAAATAACCTTTTTTTTTCTTACAGTGAGCAGGACTTTTGTTGGCAGGCTGCACACGTTCCAAAAGGACTGAACTAATCTTCAACCAGACTCACTATATAGTCTGGATCTTACTTTATTAGACATTTAATGGATTTCGCCTTGTTCCAGCATATATTGTATAAGAAATTTTTCAATAAAATTGTTAGGAATGGTCCTGCCATTGGATTAAGAAGCTTCAATACAACACGAAATATACTATTGTAGAAAGATAAAATGGTCATAATTTTTTCTTACTTGCCATTACATTTCAATGTTAGAAACTGGCAATAATTACCGTGAACAAGTTGAGAAGGTGATCGCCTCGCTTTCCAACAATGTTTGATATTTTTTCCATTGCATTCATTTCAATCTCATGCTTCTTTTCTGGCGTTATGTCGCATACAGGCGTGAAATCGCCGACGATGCTCTCAGCTAGGTCGTGGACAAGTGACATCTCCAGGCATCTAGAATATTAATAAATGAAAACCTTGTCTAACAAATAAAATACAGTATCGCACTTGACTCTGTCCAAATTGGGGTCTTCAAGGAGAAAGGTCATCATGGCCATGCGGTACATGTGACTTGCCACGGTTTCCGGGTCTTTAACATTTCTCAAAACCCATCCCGTCCTTTTCAAATGCTGAAGATACGATTTTCAATAAGTTTTTGCACTGCAACTGTACTGATTGAGAGAATTTACCTTGAGTTTATTGCATAGGCCGAGATATTCTAAATAATCACTAGCTGACATTATTAACAGAACAAAGCAACGTTATCACCAGGTTTATTTGTCTTGAATTATGATTTTGTACTACAAATTGCAAGTATCACAAGATCACAAGTAAGAGAACGCTAAGCGATCAATCCATTCTCTTTGGTCTGAATGCTCCCTGCCTATAATATATATTATATACATAAAAACCGGCAAAGGAAAACACCAGACTTTAGTACGGTTATCTTGTTATCTTGTCAGTTGTAAGTGGTGCGCTGGTGTGAGTACAAGACAGAGAACGTCATCATCACTGAGCAGCGAGCACGCGTGCCCACGTGGTGCCAACGGCAACTATACAACTAATGCTGCGAAATTCTTTAACTAATAAAAAAAAATTAAGCTCCCCATAATCATATCGTGGCATTAGTTTGTTACTCGTTCCTCCTAAATATTCGAAAAATTAATTTACAAAAGTGTTATCTTGACTGCTACTTCAAACATCTTTTGCGGCTGGCCACCGCCTCTGCCAGAAATTTAAGGCTGATTGTGTTGCATGAAAATACGAAATAAATAATAGTGGAAATACATAACACGTCCAACAATTTTTTTGGCGTACGAGGAACCCCACAAATCCGAATTGCAGATCCATTGGGGCTTATCCCAAGTCAGCTAAGTGGAAACAGGCGAATTAAGCATTATGTACTTGAACTTTAATCTAGTCTAGTTAGAAATAGAAATTGCCTGTCATAACAATATATTTGTTTATTTATTTAATTATTTACCGATTTAAATGTATTTTTAATTATGCATCTTTTTATTTATTTATACATTAAGTCAAACCATTCTGTTTTGTGGTTTTTTGCACACATTTTTCCACGATCCAAATCTTGTATGCTAAATAACTTTTCTGTGTGTATTTAAATCATATTGTAGTAGGAAGTTAGAATGCTTTACTGTTGTATGTATTGTATTGAAGTCATGTAAACATTCATTCCTTCATTTATATAAAGATCTTACCAGATCATCAATTTGGCTTTCGAACCCATCATTCCACTACTCATCAACTTCACAGAGTTACAGATTTCATTGCTTCTTGTCTCGAGCAGAAACTATACGCGACTGTAGTGTTTTAGATGTTTCTCAGATCTTCGACAAAGTATGGCATGAAGGACTATTATACAAATTAAAATGATTTTTATCCCTATTAAGCCTATTACAATGCAATCATACCTTAAGGAGAGACTGTGCGCAGTAAACCAGGGATCGGAGATTTCTGAGGTGAAAGAAGTGCTTGCAGGTGTGCCACAAGGGTCAGATGTTCCCATCGTTATTCATGGATGTTGAAACCCATGAGGAATGTATGTACTTATCCCCGAGGGTACTTCTCAGACGCCCAATGTTTTCAAAGAGAATACCAGGAAGATTTTACATGCATAGACTTCTCACATTCCTCGCCTAGCGGGGTGGTGCAATGCTAACCAAGTTCAGAAGTGCCCTGAAAAGAGCACATGTGCTTTGAAAAAGGCAGTTTTGTTTCTGGCACAGCTTTTCAGCCGTGCCTTTCACCAACCCCGGAGAGATAGAGAAGGCACTCTATCTAGGGCTCCGGTTGGCAGGTACCCTCCAGCTAAGATACAGTTTGTTTGGAAACCACGACCACCACGTGTCCAACCTCAATTAGTAGAGTCGCTTGGATACTCTACTCCCGTGGTACAGTATTATTTTTACGGCGGGACTAATCCCCACCCGTTCATACGAAACCCCTACTGATGCACCCGTTACCTGATCCTGAGGAGTGCGGGCTCAGTATCCCAGGAAGCCTCTGCCAAAGCAGAAGAGAAGGAAAATAAGAGAGACAGCGTATAGGAAGGAAAGGGGGGAAATTGCCTCCATCATTGATTACCCCCCAGGCACCAGAGTTGATGGTCGGAATTTGCCTGGGCCCACAATGAAGGTGTCCCTGTGGGTAGAGTTTTATTGTCTTTTATGTTTTATGGTCTTTACTCATGGGTGTTGAGACCCATGAAGATCTTTAACGTCCGGACTTATTCCCGAGGGGAGTTCTCAGACGCCCAGTGTTCTGAAAGAGAATACCTCGAAGATTTTACATGCATGGACAGATATTCCCATCTTTACTCATAGGTGTTGGGACCCATGAGGATCTTTAACGTCCGGACTTATACCCGAGGGGATTTCTCAGACGCCCAGTGTTCTCAAAGAGAACACCAGGAAGATCTTACATGCATGGACTTGTCACATTCGTCAGCTAGCGAGGTGGTACAATACTAACCAAGTTTAGAAGGGCCATGAAAAGGGCACATCGATACATGTGCCTTGAAAAAGGCAGTTTTGTGGTTTCCGGCACGTCCTTTTAGCCGTGCCTTTCGCCACCACGGAGAGATAGAGTCACATTTTTTATGTATTTTTCAAGAAAAACGAAAAAAACTGAATATTTTTTTGTTGTCTTTTTCGATGTAAAAAGTAGGCAAGTTTTTTCCATATATTTCAAGAAAAAAAATCGAAAAAATGTTTATTGTGTTTTTCGATGTAAAAGGCTCGTAGGACACGTTTTTTTACGTATTTTTCAAGAAAAACGCAAAAAACCCCAAAAAATCGAAAATTTGTTTATTGTCTTTTTCCATGTAAAAGGCTCGCAGGCACGTTTTTTACGTATTTTTCAAGAAAAACGCAAAAAAAACCAAAAAATCGAAAAAAATGTATTCTTTTTTTCGATGTAAAAGGCTCGCAGGCACGTTTTTTACATATTTTTCAAGAAAAACGAAAAAAAAACCCCAAAAAATCGAAAAAAATGTATTCTTTTTTCGATGTAAAAGGCTCGCAGGCACGTTTTTTACGCATTTTTCAAGAAAAACGCAAAAAACCGGCTCTATCTCCGGCTCCGGTTGGCCGGTGCCCTCCAGCTAAAGTACAATTTGTTTGCAAACCACGACCACCATGAGTCCAACCTAAATTAGTAGAGCTGCTTGGATACTCTGGGTATAGTCACTAAAATTACCAACACAAAAATTCGTTTTTGGGATTGTTGTTTGATCAGGACAGCAACCGATTTCTTCTTCTTTCCTGGCCAACTCCTCAACCTCAACCAATAATCAACAAAAATGAAATCCAACACGACCAAAACAACGAAAACTTTATTTTACAGTTCAGGATCGTAACCCTCCTATGATTGTGCTTGCAACCTTTCCCTCTAAATGAATATTGTTAATAATTTCGGTGTTAGAAAAAGATTAGATGTATTTAAAATGTATTTTTCATATATCATCTGGCAAAAGAAGATCCGTTGAATAGGTAGGGATATTCTAATAGCCTAGTTGAGAGATCGAAGTTGCTATTGATGTGTTTTTAATGCACTTGTGTACTTATCAATAACGGTGTGTGGTGTTTTTGGTTTTTTTAATTTATTTTAACAGTGTGAGACTTTCGTTCTTAGAAAGTTAGTGCTCGGATTATTCCTTTGAAGTTTAAGCCGACCTCGTTTCTTTTTGAAACGTGCCTTGTCTTTTTATCTCATTAATTTGTCCTTCTTTCAAATATTTCTGTTTATTAGCAATGGACTGTGTACGTTGATGGGAACTGTATCTTGGTGCTTCAGAACTTCAAAAAATTGGTACGATAGAACTGAACTCCTGGTTAGGGATGGTTCCATATTGTTATTAGAAGAACACCAGAATATCTTCCCTGGTGTTCTTCAGAGATAAATCCGCTTAAAGATTAAATCTTACGTGTTTTTTTGAACTTTTTTACTTTGTCCTACATCCAATCTCCCACTTGCAGCCAGTGGTCCTTCTTAGGAAGTGGGGGACAACTTGGCAAGCCGCGGTCTTCGGCTTCGTCTGTCTTTCCAGTCAGCAATGGGCCCTTCTCCACATCAATTCGTAGGATTCTTCTTCATCTTGGCTTCTGCCACGAGTACGAACTTGCACAGAAGACTGCCTAGGAACGTCGTACCGGTACACTATCACATCGACTGGGTAGTCACCAAATGCGAATTCTCCGGAAAGGTATACCCAGCAGGATTTATTAAGACATTAGCTGATAAAGAATTCTGCGTAAAAAAGTTTTCTTGTATCTGATTTATTAAATTTAACCATATTTTATGCTCTTTTTGACATAAAGGTTGATTAAAACATCCTAGTTCTCATTGGATTCTAAACACAATTTCACAATAATCAAAATTAGGGAACTATTTGGAAAAATGTTCTTTTTTGTTAGTTTATTGAATGTTTATTCAATCCTTCCTTACTGAATACAAGAAAACAATAAAATTTAACTTTAAAATTAAATGATGGAGTACAATTACGACTTTCAACTGCCTCCAGAAGCTAAGAATTATCAAGTTATAAACGGTGGAGAGAGACTTTTACAGATAAGTCTTAGCCGAAGATTTATGAAATTTTCCATGATATTATGATCTTAAGATTGAAATTTCAAAGTAAAACGAATTTAAAACAAAAAGCCATAAACGGCAAATAATAAATACATTACACACCTTTTTTATATTTTCTCCTTGTTTTCATTCCGTGATAAAGCCAGAAGACGAAGTGCCTGAATCTTCACCGATGAGAATTAAAATAAGCAGTGTTGGGTATTGAGTGAAAGATAATAATCGAATATTTTGCACGTTAAACATAATTTTGTGTATGTTTCCGTTGTCAGGAAGGCAATAAATCAAACGGGCGTGTCAAAAAGCCTTGTCGCAGTGCCCAGACCTCGCAAAGATAACATTGTGAATCAAATAATTATCATTGCCAATAAACAGGGATCCATATTTTACATTTACATAATGTTGGGTTAACGTATTCGAAAGTTGACAAGCGATAAAAAATATCATTCAAAATATATTATATGACGAACAATTTTGGATATAGCGTGGAAAATTTCTTTTCTAGCTTTCTTTAAGTACAGACAAATTTCTCTTATTTTAAACTATTAGCAGAACAGTTACAATAAATTTCTAAATTGAATTTTGAGAATTAGTAGTGTAGTATTAATAATAGAGAAAATAAAAATTTAAAAAAATTCATGCTGTTTATGTTACGAGCTGACCTGGCAGGCGAAACCTGAAGGAATTGCTTAAAAAAAACCTTTTTTTTTATCCATGGTTATTTAATTATTGTACCGAACCGAGGTCTCCACGGATAGCGCATTTCGCGACGTGCTGGTAATTATTGTGTTTAACCAAAAAGGTAATTCTGAGGCCACGACCCCGCATAAAAAAAAAGAAGCAAGAGCGCGAAATTTATCACCTCTTTACAACTCAAGCCTTACCTAATTAAAGTTGATGATGCGGGTTGGCTACTGTCCTGTTATTTGGTTTTAAGAATCTACTTGAAAAACTGTATTGCTTGCATTCATTTATAATACATATAAAAGTCAATATTTTTTTGAGTAAAGCGAGTTTCGGTAGCAGGCGGCATCGATCCATGTAAAAGACAGCCGGGGGGAAGGACGTCATTAACCGCATCCACGATTATCCAACTTAACGCTAAAAATCAAATGAAACCCAGGAAGAGCGACTCTCACGCCGCGGTCGTGGGTTCGATTCCCACCGTCGCCTCTGGCCCTTTTTTCACAATAACCCCCCCCCCCCCCAAATTTGAACACACATACGAATTGTCACATGGCTAATATGCATAGTTCATAACGCAAAAAAAAACCAGGAAGAGACCAGTTATTAGTAATCACATAATATATATTCTGTACAGTTAATACATTTTATAACACAAAGAAAAACGTTTAGCTGGTTAATCTAAGAGTTGTCCAAACCAATGTATTCACCTGTAGGTTATTTTATTTTTAAAAATTTGTATTTTGTAACTTACCGTTGCCCTTGTATCTTTATTTACAGGCATCGATTTTAATTAGTCATTACACCCTATACGACATATTTTCACCCTGTACATACGGTACGTTTGATTAGACAAAATTACATATTGGTGTTGCCTTCTTTTGTTAACCCCTTCCTAGTCTTTAAAACAACGTATACATCAGTTTTCTATTTCCACACTTTAATGTTCATTTGTACCACATCAGCGTGCTTTTTCATCTCACCTCACGTCAACCCGCTTCTTCTTTTAATTTTTCATTCGTACAACTTCATTTTATTTAGTTTTAGTACCTCCTCATTTATTTTCATCTATTTTGATTTTATATTATATTGGGAAGTCGTTTCTCTCATTATTGACATCCTTCAACGTTGCAACCCTTCTGTAATTACATACTATTTTTTACCCTCGTTCTCGGATATTTTTGTTTTGTTTTAGGGTTGGCAAATTGGTCATCGCTAGCCCTCTCTTCCTCAGCTTCATATGCATTTTCTTATCTCTTTCTCGATATTCTATGGAACAACGGTAACCAACCCTCTATTTTCTTTGTCCTATTACTAGCCTCTCTGTACCTCAGGGCCTCGTCAATTTTGGGTAAAATAAGGCAAATAACAAAACACAGACAGAAACACAGAACCAAGATAAAAATATGGTTAGCATTCACACTACCCAAGATTACTCGATATTCCTCGGGGTAATTGGGGATATGCCCTTCCATTCACGCTAATAAATTATGTTCACACACCAGACGACATTCGCACTGCCTCAGGGTACTCGATATTCTTCGACGTTCTTTGATTGGAAAGCCAAGTATGGTGAAACACAGAAGAGGGTTGTCAATTAAAGAATTAAAATATCTGTACGACTACAATACATTTAAATTATTGGTGAAGCCTAAGATTCAATTAAACCTAATGTAACTATCCAAGCAAAAGGGTTATCCAAACAAGACAATTTCATCTCTTGAAAGTTTGCACTTTCTGAGGTAGTGGATACGGTACATTGTTAATCGGGGGCATATTGCTAAGATTATTTTCATTTTTATTATTTACAGCTCAAATCCTACCTAGGCTACCAGGCCAGAGTCAAAAACATAAATTATATATGAATATAAATAAATATAAAGGAAAAAATTAACACAGATTTAGGACAACGCCGATTAGTATTTCCGGATGTACGAGCTGAGGACATCTTGGAAAACATAAGTCAATAAGGCAGTCTCATCCAAAAGGCGAGAAATTATTTCCCCTGTACTGTAAAGCCCGCAGGAACATAGCCACGTGGAAAAGTGGGTCATTCCTCAGGGTGTGTTGAGAGTCCCTCACATGGAGGGATATCCGGTGCATCGAGTTGTGCACTTTCCAACCGAAGGATAGGAAGCTGCTTTATATGGATTTTCTTTCGCATTCCCGTTGCTAAGTAGATTAGGCTCTTCATTAATCAAGATTCCCCTATTATTTTTAAAAGCTATTGAAGTTCATAAAATTTTAAATCCGCAGAAAAACATTTGCTACCAAGAACCAAGAATTATTCGTTGGAAGATAAAGAAAATCTTTAACGAAATAGCATAATGCAGTATGTTCGACTGCTTTAAGATCAAGATTGTTCAGAATCTCGTCTGAAGTTCAATTATAGTAGTAGTATTTTTACTCAAGAACTTGCTATTGATTATTTTGATTTTTAATTGCTATTTTCTTTTTATAATTTAAGTGGTAGTGTTCATAATTCTCTTGGTTTTTATTTTTTCTAATGAAACAAGTGGAAAAAGTACACAAAATTCATATTAAACTATCTTTTTTTGAGGCCAAAAAATAAAGATTCCAAATTGTTTAAAGCTTAAACGCCATTACACCGGATGCGTTGAATTGCAACGATATGCAAAGGCAGATTAAACATTCAGCTTAAAACATGTATCTTGTCCAGGAACTTTGTCGGCCGAATGAATGCTTAATCGAGCTGGCACAAGGTGTCTATTCTGGAAAGGCGTGTTATTCAACCCGGATCGAGAACATTACAATTTACATCGTTGGATCTTATTCCAGGTCATTTATTTATAGAGACGTTTCTCTTGATTAAGGATTCATCACGGTCCTGGTCTATTTTGGTACTGCTAAGACAATATGCCCTTAGCTAGAGAAAAAATTAAAAAATCTCATAATGGGGGTTAATTCTACTTATAGTAACAATTGATTCGTTTATAAAACGATCCGTCTATCATTTCGAAATTTCTAACAGCTATAGACATTATTTTCTACCAGTATACGTATGCAAATAAGTTTTTCCATATACAAATAATATATATTTATTTTTTAATTAACTTTTGTAAAAACGAGATACATTATGTAATGGGATACAATACAATCATTTGACATTGTTGTTATACATCCTGAGAGGAGCCAGCCACTTGCTTGATTTATGCTTGTTCCTCTCCCAGTTTTCTGAATAGTTCCATACTATTCGTTAGGTCCCGGGGCCATATCTCCGCTTCTATCACCTGACTGTTGTAGGGTTGAGTACTGTTAGTCATAGATCGGGCTGATGGGATGTGAGGATAGGTTTTCGTAGAATGAGGAAAATTAGTTGAAAATGATCGGTATTGGAAGGTCATTGAGAAGCGTAGTGTTGGAAGCATAGTAGAGCGCGTTGACAACGATTCTGAAGAGTTTGGACTGGAAAGACAGTATTCTTGGGATGTTATCAAGTTTAGAGGTAGCAGTATGTCCGTATGTCCAAATCGGTTTCAGTAGTGCCTTAAAAAAATTGCTTTTTGTTGTTACGTCTGATGTTTTTGAGAATAATTTTTATAATAGTCTTTTATAATAGTCGAAACGTCTAATTCCCGTCTTTTAGTTCATGTAATAAGTTTCGTAATAAAGACGTATAGACTACAGTAAAAAAACAAATTAATTTAAAAAAAANCATTTTCTTTATCGTGCCAACGTTTCGATCTTTATTGAGATCATCTTCAGGGCTCAAAGTGTTTGTCTTCTGTGTAATTGTGCCATTCTTGCGTGTCATGTTGAGAGTGCCCTCAAAAAATTAAATAATTGATTTTACAATTAACAAATTTCTAATAAACAATTATCGTCTTGCCCCATAGGAATCAATCGATCTCGAAGTGCGGAACTCCACCGATAGCTTTAAACTTCATTCAAGGGACCTTCAAGTTGACTTCGAAACGGTGAAAATTACGAAACTTTCTACCAACGAAGATGTAAACATCGTGCTCGTAAACGTAAGTTACCAAGGAAATGTTTATTTGGGTAATCTGTTGCTTACTTCAAATACTCAAATATTTTTATTATATTAAAAAAAATCTTATTGTCTTTATTATTGTTTTTGCTTCTGTTATAAATTCTTATTTTCAATTTTTACGCAATAACGGTCGAGAAGAAAAATTAGTGTGACGAGGAGGATTTTTCATCTCAACCGTGTTTGCATAAAAATTGAAAATAATAATTAATAGTAAACCGATAACTAATTAAATAAATAAATTCTTGCATCGTTTAATAATTGAAGTTGTGTTAGAGATAATTATATTAATGCTGTATATATAAGAAGAAGAAAAAATAATTTATTCTAGGGCAAGATTGTTCGCTTAGAATAATAGGTTAAAGTAAAAATTATTAACCTTTTGACATAAAAATAAACCTTGTCGTGGTGATCAACGTGATAACAATGGATTGTATCAAAAAGTTAAAGGAGTTAAAACTAAAATAAAGTACTCTGAAAATTAACGTAGAAAAATAATAATTACTGAGTGTAATAAACTGCGCTTAGATAGACCTTTGGAGGGAGAGGAGGTACAGATGTTTAAAAGAGGTAAGAGAAGACAGTTAGGGGGAGTGATTTCCAGATTTTTGGTACTCGGATAAGGAAAGACCGTTTAAAGGTGCACGTTTTCTGCCGGGGAAGGATTAGGTCACAGGAGCGGGTATTGCAGGAGTGAAAAGAGGATTTGAATCGGATGGACATCACGCATACACACATTATCCAAATGTAATGTGGACGATGGGTGTTAATGGCCTGGTGAGCTAAGGCACCGAGGAAATATAGACTTCGGGAAGAGGGACATACTTCGTCCTACTCAAATTCTTCATTTATTTAATATATTTCATCAAAATAATAAATTTCTCGAACAATCGTTAAGACAAAATTGCATAAAAAAAGAAATGGTTCGTTTACATAATTTGATAGTTTGGTCCTGGTCCCTAAGCGGTTATTCTCGAAGGATATCTAGTGTTTGGTTATACGGCGAGATTAAACTGACCAGGGTGACCGGAGATGTGCTATGATTTTTTTCCCACAAACAATGGTGTTGGTTTATTGAAGATACTTTAGTACTTTTTTCTTTGGTAGCATTCCAGACTACCATAGCATATCAAGGCCATAATTCATTCTCCTTAGGTTTGTTCAATGTAAAAATATATTGCTATTTATCGGTTTTGGTATATACAAAAATATTTACAATCCTCTTAACATTTCACTAGTTTTCGTGGTCCGCTTGACCAAATAATATCTTTCAATTAATTAAAAAATGAATGAAAAATGAAAAATTGAAAAATGGCAAAAAGGAGGGACAATTCAAAAGGTGTGGTTGAGGTGGGAAGTTGGTGTCCGAGTGGATCGAACTCACGATAGCTCAAGTGGTAGAGTAGCGGCGTATGTAGCCGAAGGTCGTGGGTTCGAATTCCGCTCTTGACACTGACTTTTTTTTCTCAACTAAAAACCTCTTAACAATTTTTCGCACAAATATCTCACTAATAAACTCTAAATTATTAGGTTTTGCAAGAAGTTGTGCGAAATTTCACTATTTTAAAACCACTAGGTCTTTCTTTCTCTTTCCTGCCCCTTGGCCCTCGAAGAGCTTTGCAGGTGTCTTTCTCTGCCTAGTGGCCGAAGCTCAATTCCCCCGCCGGAACTTTGCGGCGCCGAGCTGGCGCCCCCAGGATGGGCCTCGCGGAGGCGTCCGGTTGGGATCTGGGGGAAGAGCATCGTTTTTGGCAGTCTTATAATCTTATCCATTTTTATAGCTTGCACGTTACGGTACTGGTCTATGCTATGCCGGCCATCCTTTCTGCCTCATTACTGCCTTCCATAGCATTTCTGTGGCCTTGTACCCTGCCCTGGTGGATATGGCACGGCGGACGGTGTCCATGGATGCTACATCTACTTCTACTTCATACATCCATTTTGTGCGAAGTACGATGTACCTTTCGCACTCGAGAGCCACGTGGTCAACCGTCTCAGGCATTCCGCATTCACACAACGGGCTATCTTTTAGTCCTAAGCTGTGCAGTTTTGCTGAAAAATCTCCGTGCCCAGTAAGGAATTGGGACGTGTAGTGATCTGCCGTCAGATGTTTCATGGCTAAGCGATCCTTTATGCTGTTCAGGAGTCGGTAAGTGTGCCTTCCTTTTGGCGTCGAATCCCATCTACGTTGCCATTCCTCTATTAACCAGGCATCGACCTCTTCTTTGGACTGCACGGGGACACAGGGCTGGTACCCGTTGGCAAGCTCCCATGCAGCACACACAGCTTTGGCCTTCAGATCAATGGGGGGTCGTCCGGCAATCACTGTCAAAGCATCCGTCGATGTCGTTCGGTAGGCCTGGGTGACGACTAATAAGGCCGATCTTTGCGCACTGCGGAGTTTCGCCCAATCGGCCTCTCGCAGCACTCTTGTCCACACTGGGACAGCATATAAAAGCACAGACTGGCACAATGCAGTATAGTAAGTTTGCCTTGTTTTGTGGCTGATGCCCCACGTAGCGCCGCACAGGGCTCTAATTGCCGCGATTCGGGCACTATTTTAAAACATTCAAAATTGAATTGCTTCACTAAAAATAAAGGTTTTTCTCTATATCTGTTTTGTGTAGAACTCTTTCATGTATAGAATTATACCTGTCAAGAGAAGATGATCAGGGGTGATCTCACTACGAGGAAAATAACGATGAAGGGAAATAAGGCATTTTTACGAATATATCTGTATTTATATTACTTGTGCTATTGACAGAATATTTTTTGTTGGATTTGACAAATGTGAAATATGTATATTCATAAAGATGTTTACGATTTTAAAGATTCCTATTATTATTCCAAAACCTTCAGTTTTGAGATTAAAAATTATATTATAATTAAATATTTGATAGTTTACTGTTGAACAAGGATTACCTATAGATTTTATAAACAGACTTGAATTTATAGTCAATTCGGTAATATTGCCAAAATGTTCATCGTTAAAACTACCAGGGGTACATATCTCGGTTTCAGTAATACATTAAATAATGTTTTGAGTGTTACATGACGGACTTGGCATTGCAGGGCGAGAATAAGGACGTCGAGAGCTTTGAGTACTTCACGAACGACGACTCCCCTCGAAACTTAAGTGTCAACTCGGTCAAAGGAGACAGGCTTAAAGTGTCACTGAGCGAACCGTTAGAGGTTGGATCCAAATACAGGCTTTACATGGAGTTTAACGGGACCATGAACTCGAGGAAGGCGTTCGGCTTCTACTGCCAGAGATATCGCCATGGTAACCAGACCAAGTAAGTGTATTAACGGAATATTACTATGCCAGCCGGTTTCGAATCAAGGTCGATTGACAACCCTATAACATTTTATATATTCATGAATATTCATTCGAATTTTAGAAAGAGCGATCTCACGGTTGTGTTTGTGTTAATAGCCATCCTGTGCACACTAGTGGACAAATCAAAACTGAGTATATAATACACTGTAATTAAACAATTATCATTGGAATTTCCATTCTACCTACTGCGTGGCTAGAACATTTTTACAAGGGACGAACACTAATTATAGCAATTTTGAAGAAATTCGATTTTGTTTTTTAAAATTCTTTCCATATACGATCTTTTATCTAACATTGAGATAATAGAAAAGTAGTCAAAGACAAACATCAGTTAAAACAATAATTTTCTATAAATGTGATCAAATTTCGTTTTCTCAAATCCCATGGGACGTATCCTCTCAATATTTCCAACGAGGATCCACGTAATTGTGCTCTGACACAAAAAATTAAAGACATTAAAATGTATACATGGAGATCTTTGTGTTGGTGTCAGAGTGAGAAAGGTTCAAAGAAAATGAATAACTGAAAAATTAGGAAATGCTTTTTTCAAGTTATTCAAAAAACATTTAAAAATCTTGCACCCATTGAACCAAAAACCAAGACTAAGCACTCTTTAAGTACGCTGAAAATGGGACAATTAGATGACTAATCTCACACTGGTTAGAAGTCTGAGATGATAAAAAAGTTACAAATATCTCCGGATAAGAAATGACCACCTGTCTCTCAGTAAAAGAGATTTTAAGAAAACAATGGGTCATTGCTATTTTAGTAAATCGAAATAGGTGAAAAAGAAACTTCATCCCTCAGTTTTATTTCGCTGAGAGAAAAGGAAATTTAAGTCCGTTTGCGGTATTTACAATAAAGAGCCTAAAGAAAACAGCGAAGAAGTACCAAGATAGTCAAATTCGTTAAGAAATGAGCACCTTTCTTGTTTGGATATTGATTAAGATTTTTTCTATAATAGAGCTGTCTAAATCGCAGTGAGCAGGAGGAGAGAGATGAACCCTATAAATAATAAATAAAATATAAACAATCGCAAAAATGAAGTCACGTGGTCATCTAAGCTAAAATCAAATTGGATACAATACGTTGTAATTAACTTATATGTTGTTGTATCTTTGTGAATGGGCTTCTTGCCCGTCTAAATTAATAGATAAATAAATCAATACAAAGACAAGCCTATCTCCGTATTATGGTGCAAACTTTCATTTTGATTAATAAAAAATAGAGATAGCTTTTCTTATTTTCAATTAGTCCTAATTGTTCGGGCAGGTTTTCTTCTTATTAATGTAAACAAAGGTACTAGCTAAAACCGTACGAAGAAGTGTAGGAAAAATATTTATTTGTTTTAAAGGTGGTTAGCGTCTACTAGCTTTGAACCAGGGAATGCCAGGTCTGCGTTTCCATGTTTCGACGAGCCGGGACTCAGGGCGAACTTTACAATTTCAATAACCCACGACAAGAAAATGACAGCGCTTTCCAATATGCCGCTAAGTTCTTCGGCTCCTTCGTAAGTAGTGAAGTACTAGGTGGAAAGGCGGACTGGACGGTTCATGCTCGGTTCGGTGTTTCAGAGATCTAGGCGAAGACTGCGTCGTGGACACGTTTGAGACTTCACCGAAAATGTCGACGTACTTAGTAAGCGCTTTTGTCGGTGAGTACGACCACATCGACTCGAAGTATTTGAAAAACAAACCGATTCGGGTTTGGGCTCATAAAGAAAAGGTGTCGTACGGGGACCTCCCGCTTCGATTGACAGCAAGGCACCTTTCTTTCCTGCAAAATTATACTGGGTAATTATAATCCTTTCATATCGGAATTATTAAAATTTTGTTTTAATTATAATAAAATCTATGCTTTCAGAGTGTCAGACCCCATGCCGAAACAGGACTTACTGGCGATTAGAAATTTCGCCGCTGGAGGGGTTGAAAACTGGGGTTTGATTACCTATGAGTAAGTTCATTTTAGGAAAATATCGAAAAACTTTATCACTTACATTAATGATGGACGATTAAGCAATTAATTACTTTTACGACCTGCCCTTAAATGCATTTACAAAATCAAAACAACTGATAACTTCATTACAACCACACAATTATTTTAATCAATTATATTTTTTACCTAGGGTCTTGGTTGAGGTGAAAATGTTAGTGATACGAGCAGAATTAGAACCCACGACCTGTGACGCTAACTTTTTCATCTCAACCAACACCTTAGATAACGATTTTAACTAATTAAAATAATTGATAGATCGATTAAGACTACTAAAGATATATGGATTGACCAAACAATAATTATCGAGCAGCCGAGGGAAAAAGAGGCAACTAGTCTACAAAGACCATTAATTAATTGAGATTGAGCGGAAGCTTAGATTAATTGAGGTTTAAAGAATCGAATGAAGAATGCAGAAAATTAGGAAGTTGGGTTTTGTCTAAGTTTAAGCTATGTGCACTTAAAAATTAAATAAACCCTAGTTATAGAAAATAATTTGTTTCAGCGAACGTTTTCTTCTTTTCAATCCTCGCCACCGTAGAAATAAGCAGGTGGTGCTTCGTGCTTGCAACTTAATCGCCCATGAGCTGGCGCATATCTGGTTCGGCAACTTGGTCGCCCTGGACTCGTGGAGGGACATTTGGCTCAACGAAGGCTTTTCCACGTACTTCGCGGCGCTTTCCACTAACAAAGTACAAACTAAGCTTAACCCTTTTTTACGGCATAGTTTAAGATCTTTTATTAAGTTTATATTTTCTACTTACTGTATTTTCCTATTACGAATAGAATATTTTGTTGCACCATATTTGTTATTGACATAAAAAAATGTTAGATTTTTAACTTTTTATCCAAAATGTAGAGAGTTACGGGGAAAATATTATCATAATGAATTCCAATTAAAGGTGTACCGAGAATATGATACCCAGGCTTGGATACTTGCAAAAGAGAGTGCGATGTTGAGGGACTGCAAGTGGACGACTCACCCTTTGAGACCCGATTTGGAATTGGACGCTAGAGACATTTTTGACGAAATAACGTATTACAAAGGTAGAATAGAGTACTAATGCCAATCCATGGTTAGAAAACGTTGATCTTTCAGGGTCTTCCATACTTAGAATGCTGAATTTCACACTTGGTGAAGATGTTTTGAAGGAAGGCGTTAGGAATTATCTGCAAGAGAAGCTCTATTCCACCGCGTGCCACAAAGTTCTATGGGCCAACCTGGAGAAAGCTGCGGTCGCTGCTGGTCATAGCTTTCCAGAAGGTGTCACTCTCGAGCAAATCATGGACGCTTGGTTAAATAAACCCGGCTACCCGGTAGTCACAGTCAGTCGCGATTACACCACCGGAGAAGTCACCATTTCACAGGTAAATGTTAACAAAACATTTTAAGAATATGATTATATATTATATGGCCTAATTTGAGAGGCAAATACGTGTGTTTTTGTAGAAAAGTGTTTTGGAAAAAGAAGAAGAACTGAGGGAGGAGAGCGAATCAGATGGGTGGTTTGTACCTCTCAGTTACACGTTCCAAGATGAAAAGGACTCGACCGTGCGGACCAAGATTTGGCTGGACCCGAGACAACCGAATCTCACGATCCCCGATCCCGCTGCACCCGACAGATGGCTTCTGTTCAACCTCATGGGAGCCAGTAGGTGGTGAAATATTTTATCAAGTCTATGTTCTAATTGCCTTTTTTGTTATCGCCAGGTTACTGCAGAATACGTTACGATAGTACGAACGCCAAATTTCTGCTTAACGACCTTTCCAACTTTTGGATCGATGACAGGGTTTTAGTCTTGTCTGATATGTTGGAATTGGCGAGGATCGGTTTCGCTCCTGTAGAGGGTACGTTCGACGCTCTGACCTTCCTCAAGGACGAGCTTTCGCCATATCCCTGGTTGGCCTTACTATCTTCCACGTCAAAAACTGTATCTTTCTTTGAAGGAACTGAGCTGGAGTCTATTTATGTTGTATGTACCACGCTTAAATATTTCTACGCGAAAACCTAAACAATATACATATGTGAAACAATGTCAGAACAGTAAAGAATATATTCAAATTTTGAAAGGCCAATCTTTAAGCAACATACATAATGGCGATTATCGTAGATTGTTAACATTAAAGTAATAGTCAATGGTTGTAAAAATGATAAACAATGAACTATTCTGTTTTGATTTTATTCCCATATATTGTTTTCAATATTATATCACCGCTTTTATTGAATTCAATGCATTCTGGCGGATTAATAATAGAGAGCAGATTTTAACATTTGAAATATCGAGATTTATAATTTAAATTGGAAACTTTAGGACTTTTTGAATGGGATTCTCTCATCCGGCATGGAAAGATTGGACGAAAGCTCCCCCCACAGAAAAGAGCTGATCACCTTATCTTGCAAATTGGGTGTCGAACAATGCACCAAAATGGGACGAGAACTCTTCCGAAAATGGGCAGAAAATCCTAATAACGAGTAAGTTTCGAATTCACAATTTATACCTTTTCCCAGCATTTATAATCTACTGTACAGTAAGTACTAAGTGAGTACTAAGATCGGATTGTTTTATTAAAAGAACTGAGCTCTCGTACTTTCATACTCATAAATCATATGGGAACGAGAGTGAAAGAAACACTGATTTAAGGGGATGAAAGAAAAGAGAATAATAGTTTAAAAGGAAGGATGAATGGAGAGAAAGATAATAAAGAAACGATAGGTATATCGATAGAGTAAAAATAAATAGATGAAGATATAGATAAATGTATAGATGCATACATGTATACATTCACAAAGCATCGAGAAAAAGAAAAATAGATAGTAGGTAGATAGATAGATAGATAAATAGAGAGAGAGAGGGAGAGAGAGAGGAAGAGAGAGAGAGAGAGAGAGAGAGAGAGAGAGTGAGAGAGAGAGAGAGGAGCCGATTGAGTTTGTAATGAAGTTTAATATTAACATGTCATATTTTAAAGGTCATACATTACTAACATGTAGTTTTACAATTTTAAGCATAGAATGATAATCGAAAACCAAATAGTTTAACTTTTAATCTCCGGCACTACTTGTGAACTAAGATTGTTGTTAATTATACGTATCCAGAATCCCTGAGGACATTCGATACCCGGTGGTTTGCCTCGGGGTGGCAGAAGGGGACGCCAAAACCTGGGAGTTGGTCAACAACAGGTTGTCAACTTCTCACGAAGCGTCAGAAAAGAAAGATATCCTCAAAGCACTTGCGTGCAGCAAAGACGAGAAACTACTACTAAAGTAAGTTCTCATTATTGATTGTAAACTTTTATTTTATTTTATTTTATTTATTTTAAGGTATCTTCAATACGGACTGTCGTCAAATAAAACAGCTTTTTCGGGAAAGAAATTGTCTGTCATTTTGAAATCTCTTGCTAAACAACATCCCGATTTCGTCCTTAACACTCTATCGGAAAAAAATGTGGCACCGCCAAAGCAGTAAGGAATCAAATTTTATTATTTTAGAATTTATCATAAGGATATTCACATTATTGAGTTAAAGTTCAAATCCTATGAACGCATAAACCACTTTTAAGTGATAACTTAATGTAAAACTAACAAGCTACCATATTTAAAATGAAGATATCTAAATATAAAAATTATTTTCAGTAATACAAAATGGCAGAGGCTCCTGGAAATCTTAGCAGATCAGGTCAATAGCCCCGAACGTCTTGAGAAAGTAAGGGTGTATTTTTTTATATATTAAATCTTTTTCTGTATGAATTAATTTAATAAACAAACATATTGAAAACACTGCATTTTCAGTTCACCTATATCGTCAGCGGAAGTTCTGATTCTTTCAAATCGGCTGTAAGGAAAAGCCCGTTGCTGACAATCGCTGAATCCAACCTCGAATGGTTTAGCAACAATAAGCACGATGCTGAAGCTTGGCTCAGAAACCACCAGCAAATGAAAAGACAAGTTTAAAATTTCATTGTAAACAACGTAGGGTTCGTTTTTTTAAAATAGATTTGTTTATTAATTTTTTACACGTGTTAATGTTTCGTATTTATTGCTGTAAATTGTTTAAATAAATTATTTATTCAACAATTTCTTTTCATTGTTGTTATGCCTGGAATTTAATGGTTGATCGGTTTCATTGCTACACACACGCGTGCGCACACACACACACACACACACACACACACACACACACACACACACTCACACACACACTCACACACACACACTCACTCACTCACTCACTCACTCACTCACTCACTCACTCACTCACTCACTCACTCTCTCTCACTCTCTCACACACACACACACATTCACTCACTCACTCACTCACTCACTTACTCTCTCTCCCTCTCACTCACACACACACACATTCACTCACTCACTCACTCACTCTCTCTCCCTCTCTCACACACACATACACACACACACACACTCACTCACTCACTCACTCACTCACTCACTCTCTCTCTCTCACACACACACACACACACATTCACTCACTCACTCACTCACTCACTCTCTCTCCCTCTCACTCTCACACACACACACACACACACACACATTCACTCACTCACTCACTCACTCTCTCCCTCTCTCACACACACATACACACACTCTCTCTCTCTCTCTCTCACACACACACACACACACACACACNTCTCTCTCTCTCTCTCTCTCTCTCACACACACACACACACACACACACACACACACTCTTGTACTATTATTTTAATATTAATACCATTTATTTTATGGAATCTATTACTTATGCATGTATATATGAGAATATGTTTGTATTCTCTCGATTGGTTCCAACATATATTTGAATTACATACATAGGATATAATCTGTTTACAGTTTTCGCTCAAATACTAATTATTCAAAACTCATCTGCTATGTAATAAGCAAGTAATGCTAAGTAAAAAAAACTTATTGCAATTATTGTAACTAATTATACTTATAATACGTTAAATGAAGCAAGTAGAATAAAGTTAATAAAAAATATAATATATATAAAAAATATACACCCTCACACTCTCTCACAGAGGTTTCCATTTCTTTTCCATGAGACATGTTCAGGTGCGAATCGCTTCCTGTTGGCTTCGTAACACTTCAACAATTCAGATGTTCACTGGTTGTAAAGGATAGTTCACCAATTTATGAGTAAAATTATCTTTTGCAACCAGTGAGCTACCACTTCAATTATTTCTACTTCACATTACTTCGGCTTGTTCACAAATTGCCCACGCAGCGACTGAAGAGAGATGGATACTTGTATATTGCCATGGACTGGAGCAACCTTCAGGCCGTATTTATAATCCAACCTAACAAAAATTATTGTTTTATAAATGTCGAGAGAAAACTTTTTTTAAAGAAGAGAATCTTTTCAAGAAAAATAACTTGTTTAAAAAAATTTGTTAATCAGAAAAATGAGTTTAATTGTATTAATTTTTATTGTATGCGTTTTATATTCTGAACTTCACAAGTAACTGTTTGGTCATTTAACAACTTTTTTTTTAATACGCAATGAGAATTCGGGAGATACTATTTCTTTGTATAGCTAATTAGTTACACAACTATTTAATTGTACAGATATTATTGTATTAACTTTATTGAACAATTCGAATGAGGCTGTGTAAAATTCGAAGTAACGCATTTCATGTTTTCCTTGGATGTTCGATGTTCCCCTCCAAAGCAAAGCTCAAGGATCTAACTAACTAAGAACAAGTATCTGCCACGGGGAAGAAAGCCCCACATAGAGCCTTCTGGGGAGGTTTTCAACAGCCGGTGCTTACAAAAAAGGGCAGTTGCCAGTCAGTGGTTGACACGAGTATGGAGTAGTTGAGTGACACTGGTCAGTTTGTCACGTAGATAAATGGCATAGACTTTTGTTTTATTTTTATGGAGTGAGAGCGCATTGAAGGGCTTCGGCTTATATTGTGGAATTTAATCAGTTAACAAACGTGAAGAAAAAATGTGAAGATTCGGAAGAAAAGCCACTTCTCTGACAAATGTTCGACTCTCCGAGATATCCGTCTCTCCCTGTCTCTCCTCCGTTATGCCTTTCTCAATCTACGACATATACATTGGATTATATCTATAATTTTTATACGTTATATGCCCATTTTATAGTAATAATATTACACAATATTGCACATGGGTTTGCGTGTAACTTTTTTGGGGGTCGTATATTAAACTGGTTATACCATTCCGCAATGCACGTAGGTTGTGCGTTATGGTGGTTACAAAACGTACTACATTGAATTATCCAAATTGCTCACATTCAGTTTAATTCAATTCTCTTTTTATTTATAACAATAATTCAATCTGAAGTATTTAAACGTTTAATTAATATTAAATTATTTATATAATTACATGTTTATAGTTTATAACAAATTTTTTTAAGGATATAATCAGGTGCACAGTTATTAAAAAATAGTTTTATTCATTACGCTGTACACCTTTTTTTTAAATACATTTATATATTAAAACCGGTCAAAAAGAAACCATTCATGAATTTTACAAAGACGAACGTAGAAATAAATAAAAATTACAGGAATGGCTGGTCTCGGTGTTTGGGTGGCTTTCAAGACGAAGTTAGTCATTATAAGCATCTCCGTGTCGATGTGAGGGATGTTCAGGTCTCTGTACGTCGCTATTGCGAATACACCAACGATGTATAGGGCCGTAATTGTGAAGTTGAACTGGGCTGAGGTACCCTGTATAATTTTTTCCAAACAAAGGTAAAAATTTGAAACTAGTCTAAAAAATATTAAACACTTTTTTTTATAGCGTCATTGGTTCAAGAGAAATTCAGCCGGGCCATCTAAAAAGACACCCTGTATATCTAAGTGACACGAACACCACAAGCTAAGTGATCTCAATTTCGTGACTCGTGCATGCTAGGTGGGAAACTGTGATTGACAACAAAACCGACCTTGTCCCTCAAACCCTCTAACGAATGGCAAATAATTTCTAATATTCCTTTGGTTTGCTTTGCTTGTTTACAAACATATTTGCATAAACATATTTAATCACTTATTTTGATAATTCTGCTCATTCATCATTACAGCTAATAAGAGTTTTTAAATAAAATATATTCTAGCATCAAAGCGTTGTTGATACCAAGGATTGTTTCCGAGATACAGTTTCATACAATATATTATATTTTATGTATGTGTTTATTACAGTATATATCCCTGATCCAAATATGAAAAATAACTGAAACAAGAGACACACGTCTGGCATTCCACCATTTTCTAGGAGTCGTTGCTCACTGTTAATTGTTGAATGTTAGATAAAAATTCTAAAGACCTTTTTTTTTCGCAACATATAAAGACCAAACGCCATCATACGTACATAATATCATCCATCCCTTTCACCAATGAACAACATAAAAGGGAATTCGACTAACTACAACAATACACCACTGAAGATGGCCGAAAACGCGTGTGTCGGAGAGACAACGACAATCGGAGGACTGGCATGTTCGGAAACGGCCAAACGACAGGTTCATAATTTTGCAGACCTCAACGGAAAATCACAAAAAGATATCAATTCCTAAAAATATTATTATTTGTTAAACTAACCGGACTCTTTATGATAATATAGTAATAGCGATTATTGAGACAGCCTTAGGTTAAGGACGCTCAGCAATAAGCCATGAAAGAAACAACTTTGCTTCATGAAAGCTAACATAACCTTTTCCAATGATCCGTTTTGAAAAAATATACATTTAGTCAGAAATTATGAAACATAAACTCCAAGAATATAGTATAATAAATAAAAACAGTAAAGAAACTATTAATAATAAAATTGTATAGATTATAGTATTAAATACTAGATGTAATCGGTTGTAAATGGTCTAAAAATCAGAAAACTCCATAAATAAGAACATCCTCAATCTCACCGGTCAGTACTCATACTTACAAAAAAATTAACTAAATTTTACGTTGCATATTTTCGACCACTTTTTACCCGTGGTAATTTTTACAGATGAAAGGCTATATCCAAAATCCAAAATAAAATATCATAGGTATACTATAAAAGAGTGTATTGTCATTGATATTATTGAAGCTTAAATACTGATAGCCACAAAATATCTTTGGTGTGTGTGAAAATGTGGGGTGTTTAGTGACAGTCAATAATTATTCGGAGATCGCGAGGTGCGGTCTGGTGTGACTTAGGTTTTAGAAAAACACTTTTAAAGTACTTAAAGGAAGTAAGTATTTAAGAAACTTAATTATGTGTGGTGATTAGTGACCGTTAGTCGATGATTATTCGCAGATCGTGAGGTGTTTTCTTTATCGTGCCAACGTTTCGATCTTTATTGAGATCATCTTCAGGGCTCAAAGTGTTTGTTTTCCGTGTAGATGTGTCATTCTTATCTGTCGTGTTGAGAGTGCCAGTGAGATATTGTTGTTTTATGTTTATATACGTTGGATTTTGGAGGGGAAGTCGAGATAGAATATTCTATTGTATAAATTCATTTTTTTATCTAAAATTTTCTAGCATTGTATAAATTCATTTTTTTATCTCCAATTTTTTAACGTTGCATAAATTCATTTTTTTATCTAAAATTTTAGCATTGTATAAATCTATTTTTTTTCCTACATGTATTTGTAAAATTTAAACAATGTTTATAAATCCCAGGCCCTGAAGATGATCTCAATAAAGATCGAAACGTGGCATGATAAAGAAAATGTTTTTCTAAAACGTACGTCACACCAGACCGCATCTCACGATCTCCGAATAATTATCTTTAGTGTACTGGATTGCGTTAAAGAACGGTAAATTAAAAACCTAGTTTAAAAATAATAGTGTAAAAGAAAACAATTGTCAATCATTTCTAGGTTAAATTAATTTATTTTCCTAATTTTCTTAATGACTAAATGACTAGAGATTTTACGTTACGCCATACCTATTGCACGTGCTTATTTTATCTCAGAGTTCCAAGTGTTCCAGTTTGTTTTTCAAACCAACTGCTTGTCCTTGAGATGTCTTTTTATTGTTATAGTTATTGCTTTAAAAGCCATTTCACGCTCTTACAGATTTTAGATTTTCTGGTC